CACCTAACTGCTAGTGCCCGGAAGCCCAAATTCTAACTTATCTTCCATTGAGCAACATCTGACCGGGTTACAACAGTCGTATGCATGCACTTCCTCAGACTCCCGCTGAAGTTTGTCCAAATCCCCTATGGCTTTTTCCAGAGTCCACGTTGTCGTATCGCAGAATTGCAACATTTCTTCACAGAGTTATCATAAGATATGAGACTCAAGCTCAACGGAACAGTATTGGTGTTATCTCTATTCTCCGAAGAAGTACAGTTACCGACATGGCGCATGTGCTTCCTAGTCTTCTCTCCGTGGGGGGACGTAGGGACCGGATAACGACCATTTGACTGTAAACAACAGTACCTTTGTTACTGCATGGTACATCAGCTGCAGTAGCAATGATCATCGTTTATATACACTGCGTTCTCAATTCAATGCTTCTGGTATAAAGACCTTGATACCGAGTGTTTCTGGATACTTGCACGAAATAATATCGCATGTTGATCTCGTTGTTTCCTATAATTTTGGCGACGTTGTCCCCCGTCTTGGGAGGTCAAGTTCCGATCGTCGATGGTGTTCTCGGTGGCGTACGAAACACGAGTGCAAGTAGTTCAGGGGCCGTCAAACCAGCAGATCTCTCCGTCGCCGCTACCACTCCAGGCAAAATTCGTGCTGTCGAAAATACAGGAATCTGTGGTGAGTTGTCCCGAGTTATCGTACCTTGTCGATTTTTTAAACTGTTCCACTCACAGAAACGACGCCTGGTGTATATTCAGCCTCCGGGTATGGAGACTTGACATCTACAGAGAGTTTGTTGTATGTCGATATTCAACTAGAGTCTATATTTCTGACCCTCTTCATGATAGTTTCTGGTATTTCGCAGCCCGAGAGAACAACGACACTGCTCCTCTCGCACTCTGGTTTAACGGAGGTGTAAGTCCACATCTGTCTTTCCAAACTTCACAGTTGATCTTTTCTTCGTTCATAGCCTGGAAGTTCCAGCATGCTCGGCTTATTCCAGGAACTAGGCCCTTGCAGAATAAATAACGCTAGCACGGCAGTGTCGCTCAATCCCAACTCGTGGAACACCAAGGCGAACCTATTGTTCATAGACCAACCAGTAGGAGTAGGTAGGTGAACACAATCATACTGACTGGATTTTTCTAAACAAATGGCTCGGGGCGTCTCCTAGGTTTCTCGCACGGGACTATGAGTGTTGGAACGTCAGAAGAGGCCGCCGCTGACGTCTGGACTTTCTTGCAAATCTTTCTATCCGATAGCAGGTTTTCCGGTCTGCAAAGTCATGATCTTGCTATCTGGACCGAATCGTGCGAGATATCTTCCTTTACAACTTACGCATAGATCTCAAACGCACTGCTGTAGTTACGGTGGTCACTATGGGCCGACTTTCGCGGCGTAGGTTGTTGCTTAGTATCAGAATTCAAGCGGGATTGATTATTTGGCATCAGATACTTCCTGTCTCAGAATGCTGCCATAGCAGCAGGAACGATATCCGGCATCACGTTGAATCTCAAAACCTTGGGAGTGGGTGATGGTCTGACGGTGAGGCGGTGTGCATTGACCAGCTTCAGATGTCTTTAATCACTCTTTCCAGGATCCCTTGTCGCAATATCCTGGATACATCAGTTACGCGGGATCAAACCCATACCATGCTCTTGTCTCAACATCTACTATCACTCGTGCCAACACCTCTTGGCTTTCTTCTACTGGGTGCAAGGAGCAGGTTCGTACAGCCCTGTTTTTAGCAGGTGGTGATGGGCAAAGGGAATATTGATCAAGCGCATCACCACCTCGACTATCTACTATGTAATTAATCAGCTTCTCACCTTACCGTTCGCGTAGATCACTGCATGCAACAATGGTGGCTCAAATTCAGTTTGCTCCGCTGCTCAGTCGTTCTGCAACAACAATATCTTGTCGCCTTTGGCAGGCGACTTCGATGTATGTGCGAACTCTGAATCTCTTCTTGAACACGCCTAGCTAATTTTGTGACAGGTCTACTATATTCTTGCGACAAATCCCGACCCATATCCTCCAGATCTGACAAGTTACCTCAAGACTATTGAAACGAAGGTTGGCGCTGAGTCGACTTGGCAGGAAACCAACGACAATGTGTATGATAATTTCGCGGCCACTGGTAAACTCCCTTCCCTCCTCGTTTGAGCGTTTTTCATATACCCTCCAGGTGACTGGATGAGAAACTCTCGTCCCGACCTGGAGACCGTTATTGATGCAGGTGTACGTTGATCTCTTTGTATTCTCATTTTTTCATTGAATATTTTCTATAGGTCCGTGTGGTCGTTTATGATGGCGACGCTGTACGCAATAACAATTCAAATACGAATCCATCCATACTGAAGTAGGTTTGATCTCAGGACTATATTCTAAACTTCAACGGCGTAGAGGCTATGGTCAGTACCCTGAATTTGTTCTTCTGAGACACGTGTATTCATACACTAAATAGGTGAACAACCTCGACATGCAATTTACCTCTATTCTACAAGCTCAGTCCTTTGAGTCTTGGACTGTTGGTGGCCAACTTGCAGCACAAGTCAAGAATGCTGGCACATTTTCTTATATCCGAATATACGGAGCGGGTCATGAGGTATTAAACAGTCTATCGTAGAAGTACGCTTTGCTCACTGGACTTTTCTTGCTTTCTAGGTACCAGCGTATAAGGTTGGCAGCATCGTATAGTCTAATATTTGAACTCATTTTTTCGCAGTTTGGTAACCTGGCATATGGGCAAGCGGCTTTGCAAATGTTCGAACAGATTATGTCGAACCAATCCTTGACCTCTACGTAGCCCTCTAAATACTGTTGTTATCCACCAAGGGACTCTTTGTTAATCTGTCAAACTGTATGTATACGTTTTACCAGCTCAAGAATTGGTATAGGTAGCTCATTTGTTATCTCACTGCAGGACGCATCATTCTGGATATCGTCCACTTTGGTGCGCTGAATCCGAGCTGCTCGGATGACTGTGGATATGTACGTCTTTATCATGGGCGTTCTCTAAAGATTTCGGTTTCCCCAAATGTTTGATAGTGAGCCGTCATAAGCTTACATATATACATGAAGTTTAAGGCAACACGGACGGATCATCGAAACCGCATATCTTGGAAAACTCAATACGTCGCTACTCCTGGTTCTTATTGCTATCCAAGCCGAAAAGATCATGACCACGCTCGCTCATGGTTTTACCATCTTTCAACAGCTTTCAACGAACGTGGAACCATAGCCTCGGGTACGCCAACGCATGTTTGAATCTATCTGAATACTACCATAATGGGTCGCGCATGGGCTAATTCTTCCTACCGCAATCTGGACCGCCTGACTGCAGCGAAGACCACGCTACATTTTCTAAATCGCAAAATGGCGTTAACCAGATTTTTGACAGATACAATGAGGGATGCGCATGACGAACACGTACAAAAAAGAAAAACTGACTCTTAGACCAGTAAGTAAAGTCTCGTCTTTCTTCATCAATCTACCTGCCATTCGATCGTGCCTCCCGCGCCTGTGCTGCCCTACATGCAAAACAGTACTCATCCACCCTATCAATGTCTCTCTGTATCTCTCGCCCAAAATTCTATTTGTTGTAGAGTAAAGTGAATTCATGTGTTCAGGTACAACCTAAATTCAAACCGCTTCGATTTGGATATTACGCTGGACTTACTTTTGAGCAGGTCAGCAATCGACAATGCTGTGGGTGAGCATAGCTTCGTTCGCAACGACTGGAATTACAATCCATGATCGCAGTAACTAAATGTCTCTGAAAATGCTGGAGGTCTTTTAGCTTTCGCGTCATCGCAAGCTCAGAAAACTTGCACATACACCACATTTTAACCATCGTGTTCCCTCACTAGAGATACAGTGTAAGAAGACGCGGCGAGCAAACTTTGAGGCACACTTACGCTATTTGTTGACACATTTTCTTGTTTCGAGTTGAAGCAAGCCGCACAGATGGATGGCGAAGGCTCGTAATAAAGAAAGAGCTAAATGCAAGGTTGAGAGCGATCGTTTGAAAATGACTTTGAGCTCTCTCATACTTATACAAGGGTCTACCCCGATAGCGGCATCTCGTCGAGCGCTGCAATTGGTTTCGGAAATTGGAACCCATCATCACTAGTCTCATCGGTTTTAGTACTTCTTAGTCTTCATGAAGCTGTCGTGGGATTACCTTGCTACGGCACATGTCCGAGAGATTTTTCTGGCCTTCCTTCCACTGGGATTTGTGTAGTGAGTGAGAGGTACTCTGTGCACATGTGATACAACTGTTTTCGTTAAATTCTGTTAGAGTCAGTGTCGCAAAGTCAAGGAAATGATAATCAATACAAAGAAGACTGGAATTCATGGCTGCCTGTTGTCCAAGCTTCGAGTAGATATGGAACTCGAGTGCCTCGAGCTCATCATTCATATCATCTTGGACAGTACTTCCAACCTTCGAAACGAGGATTACGGTCCTACTATGGCATTCCCATGTTCAAGTTGACGTCAATCTGTGACCGCAAGACGAACGTTGGACGAGAAAGGCCATGATAGGTCGGATGGATGTATATACCAAATTCAAAGCCAACATTTTCGTCTCCAACTTCAAGTAGTATTGGCGGATGGGAGAGAAAAAAGACATAAATCCAGATCCCGAAAAAAATTTCCCGCCGGCTTGATAGATACGTTGTTCCGTTATCTCGCAACGAGGAGTAGATATAGCATGGCATCGTGCAATACTTTGACTAAGTAAGTAACTGGTCAAACCCAAAATCAATGTGTCAGATAGTGCCAGATAGTGCCAGATATCGAGGAAAGCTAGTAACAAATTCTACCCTGGAACACGGTGACGACATTCAATTCATCTGGAGTGAACTGGAGAAGTCGGAATCGTCGGATGTACCTGCTGGTAATTGCTATACATAAAGATAAGGACTTCAGAAAACAAAAGTGAAGACAACCACTTTATTATTTGGAGATTAGATTTTCCCTCCGTAGTATCGGGCCGACTAGCTCAGTTGGTTAGAGCGTCGTGCTAATACATTCCATGTTAAGACGCGAAGGTCTTGGGTTCGATCCCCACGTTGGCCATGAGTAGATTTTTGCTTCGAGTATCTTTCGAGGCAAATACCAATATGTACAGGTACGCGTTTAACCCAGGGATAACGAGCGGTTCTTTTGATTACTAACTACAAAATATCTCTTTGCATCAAGTAGTGGAACAGTTCTTCTTTCAACGTAGCTACAAGCAGAAAATATAGTACAATCAAGTAGCAGTGAAAAATGGAACAGAAAAGTCCTGATGAACAGTGATGCTACGAAGACTAGTCCAATGTATCAACGGAAAATTACAGGTGGACAACAGGATGTGACATTCATCTATGTGTATACAATGGCAAGAATGAAAAAAAAACATCACCGAGAAGGGAGCAGGTCGGACGACAGACGAATCACAGAAACTAATGTTGCAGCAAGAACAAGAAAAATCTTGCGTCTCAAGTCTCCGTTGCATTTCGGACGGGTAGCGCTTAGCCTTCGCTGTCATATTTGACAAAGTCTGCTCATCATCTCTAGTCATGTGTCCCATTATCTCGTCCTATCTTGACAGTCTTCCACCGCCGTAACATCGCATTAAATGCCTAATCCCTTTTCAAATTCCTCCTTACCACAAATATTCTTTCTCCTTCGTTTGTAACGGTCATCTCCTGTACGCCATCGATATTCTCTAATCCATAGAGTGGGCTGCCTTTTGCAAGAACGATAAACATTTCGAGGCCATCGCCGACCTGCACAAGAAGCAACGTTGAGCATTTGTTCAAAGTAGAAAGAAAATGAAAGAAAAAGGCGGGTTCTACTGGGAAGAAGAATTATATGACTCATATTGGACATCAGCGGTAGAAATACAATAGCCGTTCGGCCACGAGTAGAAGGACAAAAAATGTCAAACAAAGTATGGACAAAATTTACCTCGATATGCCTCTCTGTTGCACTCGTGAAGGAGTCAATTACTAGCTGAATGACTGTCGTTAGTGGCAGATGCTGAGGGTGGGGATGACCAGGTTGAGGAACTTGATTCTTGAAGTAGATCTAAGTATCATAATCAGTATACGAATTTTGAGATGAACGTAGAAGCCGGCACGACACGGAAATGAAAACAAAGGAGAAAAGGATGGCACAAATGCGATAACTAGAGGAAAGAACAGGTAATAATCAATCAAGAACGCAAATAATGCGAATGGTGGCCATTTGTTTTGCACTCATTCGCCCGAGTTGGACTCATCCCTATCCATACATCGGCCGGGGGCACTGGAACTAGTTATCTGTTTTGCATTTTGTACAAAAATGACCATGATGCTCCGAAAAAGAACTAGACTCGTATCGCGTCGTACGATGCGTGATCCTTCCTGCATACAGGAGAGTGGAGAACAACCAACCAGAAATGGGATGGTGAAGAGCGGAAGTAATGTTTCCCCAGCCAAAGCATCTCTCGATCCTTTGACCCTACCCAGAAATCAGGTCCGCAGGTAACCGTGATGGGCAGCATTGAATCCAAGCAACACAAATCCAGTCCTTCCCGAGTTTGATCAAATGGAGCAAATGAACAGGAACAGAGGTCTATCCAAAGGGGCCACCGACTTCGAACAGTTTCCCTGGTTTTCCCCTTCACCCGTACATAGATATATAGCGGGCAGATCCGTGTTAGCACTCCACAAGCTATACATCCACCATCCAATCCAAAGTTCAAGCGGAAGAAGGTGCCGCACAAAGGAGCAATTATATAAATGAGGCAAGTGCATGATTCAGCGACAAACAAGGAAAAAGCGTTGGGATTTGTAGAAGAAACCCGGGCAGCATGTTCAGCAGCAATGTGCCACCAACTACACGCGCTTCATTGAACTGGGGAGAAAACAGGGGTTTAAAAAGGAAAAAAACAAACAACATGATGGAGTCGGTGAAGCATCGGAAGCTACTCGTCCATCATAAGATGGCATACCCGTGGTGCACACACCACTTCCCTACGTCTCGGGGGAAAGAGACAACAGCAACAGCCGGAAATCGGGACGGGGACGTGTATGCACGGAAAATAACCAGATAAACGGAATGCAAGGCATAACAGCAGAAAGATGGCAAAAAAAAAAAGTCCTGGAAAGTAATAGACGGAGGAACATAGGAAGAAAGCAGAAACCAGTGACCACCGATATCTACCTGGTTATCCAAGAAGGGTTGAACAAGCGATTGAGCTGCGCCTGCCGCACGACAAGATTCACGCTCGTACGAGCCCACGGGATCAAAAGAGTACACTGCTCCAGATCCTGTGACGATTATAGTGTCGAGCAATATAACATGCGGAGAGTAGAGGGAACGAAGTCGGGATGGGTCAGGGAATACAATGGAAAGCTATTAGTCCGAGGGAGCTAGTTAGATCGACGCAACATACCATCTTCCTCTATTCCGCCCAAAATGTTATACACATAGTACGGAAAAAATCTGCGGGAATAAAGCATTGTCTGAATCAAACGTGCGATGGCGCGCAGAGGCATGTCCTTTGCATGAGCATGTCGATACCACTATGATCTAGGATGAGCGCGAGTTCAACAGCAATGCATATTGAAAATCACCTCCAAACGTTGTCTGACTTGCTTCACGAACATGTTTCCGTCTGCAGCGAACCCATTGACTGCTAAAACAGCGTTATCTGTTCTGCAAAGGGGATGGATGAAGTTTTGACCAACTAGTAGACGCGTCTATACTTACAATCTGAACACTTTGGGTGCATACCGCGTTTGGATTGAGTATCCTTCACTCTGCCTCGTATCGCCTGCAATGACGCTGAAATCTGCACCAGATATCGCCAAGATCGTCCCACCATTTTCGCTATACGGATTGAACTGTCGTTGTTGGGGTGTTCCAGGAGACGAATAAGGAAGTGTAACCATGTCAGGCATTTCGTACGATATGGAATGTAGTGTGGTGGTTGTGGTCCCGGTGCTCTCAGACGATGCGGGTTCTAAGGAAATTCTCAGTGAAGACGCGCAAGCAGGATCAGTGCGTAAGCTCTTACTTAACTGACGCGGCCTATGGTGGGAAAATCAAATGCCTCTTGCTTACCGAACTTTCGCCGACAGTTCTATCAAGTAATTTCTTCGTCGTTACATTCATCGTGCTCTGGCGCGAGAGAATCAGAATTACATATGCACCAAACTCTATCCCTTCTGAGCGTGCTTTTTTCGTACAACCCTCGAAAGGCGCGGGAAGCAACTTGTAAGTTCCTGAAATTTAGAAAATTTCTCGATCCTGTATCGTCGTATCTCACCCCTTTGACTTGCCTTCAATAGAATTCTACCGACAACTCGCCGCTGCCGGCGAGCATAGGTAAAAACCAGTATCTATCTCGAGATTGAAACAGGATGTATGTATTACAGCTCGCCTTTTTAATCTTCAACTTTGGAAGGATGATGATCAGCTCGGGCTCTTTGGCGTCCATACCCCAGGCGCTGAACTTTTCAACGGTAACATTGGCTTCCCTCGGTATGAGCAGTGTGTTGTTCAACAGGTCCTATCATCTTGCCCCCAAGAATTTCCTAAATCTGTTTTCGGAAGGTCTATGAACGCGTTCGGCTATTACTATCAGACTGTGTCCTAATTTGGCCTGAGGTACCGACCATGGGGCGGTGTATAATTGTACCAATGGTCGGTGGAGGAAACCACATGCATGCTAGTCAGCGAGCTCCATCGAGTTGTTCCGTCTACATTCTAGTGATGCATTCGTACTGACTTGAGAAACCGATAGATGGTCGATACTTAATACCTTTGAACGTCCGATGAGGCTAATAAACATTTCCTGACAAGTGATGTTTCTCTCCGAGAATTTCATACAGCAAATGATTACAACCTCGAAAATATCATTGGCATAACTTGGCCAGAGCTCGTTGCTCATTACCACATTTATATCTACTATATACGTACCTTGGGTTTATGTGGGGACATTTTTCCGTATAATCCGCTGGTTTCTCTGATCGCAGCATTAAAATATCCCCAGCTCCTCGAAAATGTTCTTCGTTTTTGACGGACCCGGAGCCCCAGTTTGCAGATCTTATCCCTTCTCCGCGCTTCGGCGGCTACTAATTTGAGCATTTACGCTCCAAGATGAATCCACAACTCTCATGAGACAACAGGACCACTTGCTTCGTGAGGTACCAGCATCTCACGTTTAGCTTCACGTGGTAATATATGTCTATACTTCACTCTTCATCCCATTGGGAATTCCAGTGCACACATTCTCCTTCATTCTGATGGTGAACAAGGCCGCGGACGCGAACACACTGGTCCACGCGTCTCGGTGAGTAACTACTCAATTCGAATTCGATAGGTCCGACTATTTGGATTTCATTCGCTGCGATGATTCACTGGTAGAGCCAGTCAGATGCTTTCATTACTTCTACAACAAGTGAGTGACTCTCATAATATACAGGCACAACAAGCATGTACACTTTCTTCCTCTCCCTCCCTCTCGGTTTTCGTTTTGTCCCAATGGAAGCTCTGTCAGATGCAACAATCCAGGAGACAAGTACTGAATACCTCACCGGTGTTCAAGTAGTTTTTGGACTTGCCGTTTACAAATTCATCCTATTCTCTTCTCAGTATCCTGACTGATTCCGCGTTTTTGCAACTGGCTAGACCACGCTTGATTAAGCACCACTCGCATGTTACGTTCTAGAGCAGGCAGGCTGAGACGAGCCCTCTTGTGTGCATATGCGCATGTCTGACAAAGTGACTGCGAAGACCTGCTCCTTGATTTTTTGTGTTATGCTTATACACATCGTTTCTACAGTTCATTCTACATAGAGTCAACGGCAACAATGCCAAGTCGAAGTTCAAATATCTGGGTCATCCTTGTTTATGTCGTCCGTGGACCAAAATACAAGCTGAATGGCTTGACACCGGCAGCATGCCCACCTAATCCCCTCAACGAAGTGATGCGGGTGTCGGTCTCCGGAGAAAACCCTCCTCGTAATGTCATCACATCATCTATAGATTTGAGTTGTGTTGAAAGCTCTTGTAATTCCCAAGGTCCAGGACCATACGCAACG